GTAGGAGAAGGGGAAGGGAGGAGGGAGGGGAGGAGAGAAAGGAGGGAGGAGGAGGGAGGAGGAAGAGGGAGGGGGGAGAAGGAGGGAGAGGGATGAGGGAAAGGGAGGAGGGAGGGAGGCAGGAGGAGGGAGGAGGGAGAGGGGGAGGGGAGAAAGAGGAAAGAGGAAGGAGGAGGAGGAAAGGAGGGAGAGGAGAAGGGATGGGGAGGGGGAGAAGGGAAAGGGAGGAGGAAGGGGAGAGGAGAAAGGAGGAAGGAGTGGAGGGGGAGTAGAGGTTTCTAGGACACTTATGACTGGGAGAGCCAATTTCAAAGACTGAAGTATATGAGCCAGAGGATATGCCTGGCACGGTTGACACACTGTGGAGGCATGCTCTGCCGACTGTATGTAAGAATGGTGGTCACCCTCTGCACGGTTCTTACCTAGGCTTTGGCCACTGCCAGTGTGGAGTGTGTCACTGTCACGCCAACCACACTGGCAGAGCATGTGAGTGCAGTGAGAGTGTGGACAGCTGTGTCAGTCCTGAAGGAGGGCTCTGCAGTGGGCATGGAGACTGCAAATGCAACCGTTGCCAGTGCCTGGATGGCTACTACGGGGCTCTGTGTGACCAGTGCCTAGGTTGCAAGTCACCATGTGAGCAATACAGGTGAGGCCTCCTGTCTTTCATCTCGGGAGCTGGGGCTGTGAAGCTTGCTGGGAATTCCTGCCTGCCTGTTCGTTCTCCTTGAGGGTGTGTGGTGAGGGTTGATGGGTAACAGCTGCCCTGATGTGAATCCATTGATTGGCATTCACTGGACAGGGATTGTGCGGAGTGTGGGGCGTTTGGTACCGGTCCCCTGGCAGCCAACTGCAGCGTGGCCTGTGCTGACGTCAATGTGACCTTGGCCTTGAACCCTAACTTGGATGATGCCTGGTGCAAAGAGAGGACGATGGGCAACCAGCTGTTCTTCTTCCTGGTGGAGCATGTGGTCGGAGGAGTCGTACTGAGAGTGAGACCCCAAGATAGTAAGTGGGCAGAGATATCAAGTATATGATGGGCCGGGTGGTGGTGGCGCACGCCTTTAATCCTAGCACTTGGGAGGCAGAGGCAGGTGGATTTCTGAGTTCGAGGCCAGCCTGGTCTACAGAGTGAGTTCTAGGACAGCCAGGGCTACACAGAGAAACCCTGTGTATGATGAGTGGAGCTTTTTGGGCAGGACCTCAGAGCCAGGGATGTAAGATAAGGGTAATGGGTTTGAAACAGCCGGAAACCTAGGGCAGAGGCAGAGGGAATGAGACTCAGGCCCTAGGAGGGAGGACGGCCTTGGGGTCTGCTGGGTCTTGCTTTCAATGACAGGGCTGGGGAGGCTGGCCACCCAAGGTGGCCGTGGATCAGCTCTTGTGCCTTGGCCCCACCAGAGAGAGCGGATCATACGCGTACCATCGTACTGGGCTGTATAGGGGGCATCGTGGCAGTGGGACTCGGGCTGGTCCTGGCTTACCGGCTCTCTGTGGAAATCTACGACCGCCGCGAGTACAGCCGCTTTGAGAAGGAGAGGCAGCAACTCAACTGGAAACAGGTGAGGCCAGCTCTTAAGCTTCCCCCCCCCATGCAAGTCCCTCCCTCGGCATGAGCAGGCCTTCTAGATCTGGCCTCATGGGGCGGTAATGGGGGCAGCCTGAGTGCTTTCCTTACAATGTGCAATGTTTTCCCACAGGACAACAATCCTCTCTACAAAAGTGCGATCACAACCACTGTCAACCCCCGCTTCCAAGGGACCAACGGCCGCTCGCCGTCCCTCTCTCTGACCCGGGAAGCAGACTGACTTAGGATTCTTGTCTTGGAGGACAATGGGGATAGGAGGGCAGGGTCAGGAAAAGCTGCTGCCACTGTTGCAGTGACCTTCAGCAGGCAGCTTACCACTGCAACAGCCATTCCCACCACATGAGGGGCTGGTTCTTCCACAATAAAACTTTGCCTCACACTTCCAGCCTCTACTTTACTTCACTCTGGGACAAAACCAGAAAGAAACAAAAATACCGGACTATGTAGCCTAGGTCTCTCACCTGAGCCGGTGGAATCTCGGATGCTGGAGGGCAACGGATTCCATTACAGATAGTTGTGAGCCACCATGTGGCTGCTGGGAATTGAACTCAGGACTTCTGGAAGAGCAGCCAGTGCTCTTAACTGCTGAGCCATCTCACCAACCCGCCTTTTTTTTTTTTTTTTAAATAGCAGAGATGTTTTTGCCTCTACCTGATGCTTCTCTGTGGAGAAAAGACACCTTAACAGGGCAGTTGGCTCTCTTGCAACTTGTAGGGTGGTCGTATTGAGGGAGGAAAAGCAACCCATTGAAACCACTCTGGCCTTTGGAAAAAAGTTTCCCAGCAAATCAAGTCTTCTCAAAGAGGACATGGAATGTAGAAAAGCGCCGTCCTTTTTATTTAAATATCCTAAATATGTCACGAAGGAACATACACTGCACTTTAATGGTAAAAAGATACAAGTTTATAACATCTTATAAAAACTACATTAAAAGTGATCTTGTCCATTTGATAGTCCCCTCCCCCATAGCAAAATAAGTATATTTAAAAAAAAAAATGGAGCACAGTAGGGAGGGGAATTGGAGATAAAAAGCCCAGGGCCACAGCAGGGACAGAAGGAACCTGGGTGGAGAAGGCTCAAGTGTGGCCACTCCACTCCTCTAACCCTCTGTCAAGCCATGAAGTACAATCAGTAGCTAAATGATGACAAGAGGCTGCTGGGGATGGACGGAAAGGGTAGGTACCAGCAAAGGTGGGATGGCAGGGCCGGGACTGGGGCAAGAGCCCACCCCGAGGGCTGGTATTCCTCTCCCCACCAACCCCACATCCATGTTCTGATGTCTGGGCACCCACCTTCTCCTCATTTCCCCTTCTACACACACCTGAGACATCTGTCCAGTGCTAACAACCCACCCCAGCAGAGGGGGCATCTGGCCCAGGAGCCTTTGCAGCTGTCTGTGTCCCCTGGGGTAGAGAGGTGGCTCCTGGGCCCTCGGCTGTTGTGTTACTCTCCACCCTAGAGCCTGTTTGCCCTTACCCACTGCCGGCTTCTGACTTTCACACTTGGCCTTGGCAGTGTGATTCTGGTTGGGCTGTCAGTACACATGCAGTTCTCTCTCACTTCTCTCAGCTTTGACAACAGGCAGGAAGCCACAGTCTGCAAGGCCTGCTCTGACCCAGTACACACATTCATACACGCAGAAGCATGGGTCACTCTTCCAACTTTCAGCACAAATGGATCATCTTCAAGTGGTGGTGGTGGGGGATCCCACTTTCAAAAGCATTTTTGGGAAGATATCTTTCTCAGCATATCCTCTTTCCCAGAGTTGAGTGACAGAGAAATCCCAGCCCAGTAGAATCCTCTAACAGTAAAAGGTTTGTGTGACATGCACATGAATGCCCGGGGGCACATGGTGGATGGAGGTCGGAGGTGCAGGTTCTAGAGCATGTCACAGAGAGACAGCAGGAAGCTAGAACACAGGGCAGTGCATGTTCCTCAGACCTCCTCTCAGGTGCTATCAGAGGAAAGCTGAAGGCTGAAACATCCTCCCCTCCCCCCTAAGTACCTCCACCCTGAAGTTGTGGTAGACCATCCCCCAATACCTAGGAAGAGGCCTTAGTGTAGGCTGCCGCCTGGCTCTCATTTGCAAGTCAAGAACCTCTTCCTCGAAGCGCCATCTCAGACCCCTGCCCATGGCTGCAGCTGTGTGCTCAGGTGTACCCCAATGATTCCACCTGAAGTAGGTCTCAGGGGTGGAGTAGTGATCAATGAAATCCTATAATCTCCCTTAAGAATCCTTTCTCTAGCAGGAAGAGTTATTTCTCTTTAGGAAATACATGCTCAGAAGCCCTGGCTTAGAAACACTCTGACCAATACAGTTAAATCAACCTAACAATAACGAGAGAACCCCTCGACACCCTGCTGGAACAAGCCTCTGTTCCCTTGTTCTCTGCAAGTTCCGGGAGGAGGACACCTTCCGGTTTGGGTGGGAAGGCTGCCTGCCCTATACTTTCTGTCCTCGAAGTTGGTGGCCGAATAAATTTCGGTCAATAATTCTCATCCCTTCCAAGCAAAGAAACACAAGCACTCACAAATCAGACACACACACACAAATCCGATCACTTTTCCAGGGGTAGACAAGATGGAAGGGTATAGTAACAGAGTTAAGGTCAAGAATAAAACAGACATGAGGTGTCTTCCTGCAATCCTTCCTCTGAAGCACCCTCCTCCACCACTCTGCAGGGATGCCTATCAAGGAGCCAAGGTTGGTTCTCTGAGACTGAAGACCAGACCAGAGCTCCATCTCCTCTACTTGAACAGGCAAACGATTCCGGCAAGGAGAGGGCTCTCTCACACAGGTCACGTCAGGACTGTCACAAGTTTTGTTCTTCTCACAATTGTTAGCAAAACTCTGGACTATCCTTGTTCTAAGAGGGCACACAGGGACAGCCTCCCCGACACCCACGGCTCCCTGCTCAACTGTGCCTGGATTCTGGAGTCAAGGACAAGTGAGGTAGCCACAAACCACAACCAAGACCAACTGCCCAGAGAAGAGGGCCGCATGGGCGACCCCACCCAAGCATCCTTCACAAGGCACTTGAGCTGACCCCATCAGGCCTCAGTGCTGCACAGACCATGGGAACACCCGTGACACAACACCGCTCTTCTTGAGGAGATAAGCAAAGGTTTGCCCACTCTTCTTGTCCACCCCACATCTGTCCGTCCCAGTGTCTCCTTTTGTCCTCAGTGTATAAGAAGTCCAAGGAAGCACAGCTGCCGGCCCCGGTCCTATTTGCTTTCAAAGAGGAAGGGTGGGCTGTGGAACACGGAGGGACCAGCCACAGGCCTTGCTGTGCTTCAGGACTTTCCCCTCCACGTTACCTGTATCCCCAGTTTACCTGCTGAAACTGCTTTTGGATAAACAAAAACAAGAGCAGAACAAACAAACACCCTTCCTTCCCCAGTCCTTTCTGTTTTAGCTGCCAGTTCCAGTCCAAGGTTGTGGGAACATTTCAGTCTTGGTCCTGCACCTTTGAGTCCCCACCTCACCTCAGCGAGGCTCAGGGACCAGCTCCCGTGCCCAGGAATGCTGCAGGTGTCCCTGGGACACTCATAGTCTCAGACTAGGTACAGAGCCGAGGCTCTGGAGCTGATGTTCTGATGCTCTTCTGCTCACCTGGGGCCAGTCCTCTTAGGAAGGGGGACAGGTTCAGAGGGAGCGGTGGTGGGACCGTCAGAGCACATGGCTATGCTCTTCTGGAGACTCTCCTCAGCACTCCCACCACCTAGGGCCCCTCGTGCCTACAGAGAAAACTGCCCATCAGAAGTCTTGGACTGGCATCCTTGGCACATCCGTTTGTGTCTGAGTAATCGGTCTGTCCGAGAAAAACACTGTGAAGAGAGAGAAGATTAAATCACTAAGAGAAACTCAGTCTCAGATTAGTAGGTTCCTTCCTTGAAGAGGAAGCATACACTACGTTCTTGTTCCTTTAGCATCTATGCAACAGAAGCACACTGTAGATAAGAAAGCTTGTTTTGCTGGGTATTGTGTCAAATGCCTGTTAATCCCAGAACTCAGGAGGCAGAGACAGGTGTGTAACTGTGAATTCGAAGCTAGCTAGCCTGGTCTACATAATGAGCTGTAGTACAGCCAGCGATAGTTAAGAGAGACCCTGTCTCAAATGAACAAACAAAAAGCCCCGAATGCTGGTTCGAGGGGCTGGGGATACAGCTCAGCTGGTAGACTGTTTGCCTAGTACACACGAAGCCCTGGCCTTGACACTCAAAACTCTATAAACTGAGCGTGGTGCTGTATGCACACCTGTGATCTGAGCACTGAGAGCTGAAGCCGGGAAGATCAGAAGTTCAAAGTCATCCTTGGCTTCCTGGCAAGTTGGAAGCCAGTGTGGACTACTTAAGAGCCTATCTCAAAAAGGATGAGATGGCTCAGCAGGTCAGGCCACATGTTACCCAGCCTGATGACCTGAGTTTGATCCCTAGAAGAAACATAAGAGGAGAGAACAGATTTCCAAACGCTGCCCTATGCCCTCCACACTTCTGCTATACTGTATATACACAATAATAAATGTTACAATAACATCATCATCACCGCCCCCACCACAATCATCACCATCACCACTATCAGGAGCAGCAGCCACTGCCAGTGTTGGTGCAAGAGGGCCTGACCTTCTAATGCTGGTTGTATCACTTAGTCATGTGACAGAGGGCAAATTACCTAACAGCCCTGAACCTGCCTGTTCACCTGAGGGAACAGGTTAAAAGTGCCCAACACAGTGTATCTGCTTCACTCATCAAATATTTATTGTTTAATCAGAGTAGAGCCCGACCCCAGGAGGACATGCTTGGAAGGCACTCGTTCCACCAGCCTCTCATCACACACTCATCCTAAGGCATGAATACTTTTCTGGCCTAAAGACAGAAAACTAGAAGGAGGAGACATCCCTCATGTTTCTGTGAGACTGGTCTTGCTATTTAATTGATTCCGGCCAAGAACCTGTGACCCTCTCGCTCTGTCTACTGCGTGCTGGGATTAAAGCATGCGCCACCAAACGCGGCTCCTTCGTGGCATTTCATTCCTTCTTCATTGGCACTGTGAGGAGTTCACACAGCCCAGGTCGGGCTCAGACTTTCTATGGGCAGCCGAGGATGTCTGTGGGATGCTGGATTATGGCCTCACATGGTCATCGTCAGGAGGAGTGGCAGCTCCCAGCCTAGCACACTGAAGGCTCGGTGTGGAAAGGCTGAGCAGAGCATGCAGGAAAGTCAGCTACCACTACCACTCATCTGCTGTCCCCATCCCTACACTCTCAGATCAGACACTGGACTCCACGGCAAAGACTACATACATCTCTTCCTCTAAGGTGCAGGAGCTTTGAAGTTGGACAAAATTCAAACTCTACTCTTGTCTGCTGTGTCTCGGGGAAGCTAATATCCCTCAACTTCAATTTCCCCATTACATGAAATGAGGGTGGCGCGGCTACCCTGAGGAGATAACCTGAGATTAAAACACTTCCAGCAGCTGAGTCGTGGTGCACATCGTTACTCCCAGCACTTGGGAGGCAGAGGCAGGCGGATCTCTGAGTTCGAGGCCAGCCTGGTCACCAGAGTGAGTTTCAGGATAGCCAGGGCTACACAGAGAAACCCTGTCTCAAAAATAAAACAAAGAATAGCAGCAACAGAAGACAAAAAAGCCCCACCATATCCACCACTCCTCGAATTCTATTTCAAATTTGTTCTCACAGTTCCTGATATAGAATAGGTACTCAAGAAATGATATTATCAAGCAGATTTTTGTGAGTTTGAGGTCAGCCTGGTCTACATAGTGAGTTCCAGACAGCCAGAGCTACACAGTCAGACCCTGTCTTGGGGAAAAAGAAAAAACAAAAAACCCCCAAAACTACAAAAAGCAAAGCAAACCAAACCTCTAATAAATGACAGTATGATATTCTAATAAGCATTCCCCACGATGAGCTCTGTAAGGCCAGAGACATGTCTCTTTCTGGGGTGCTCACTGTACTGAGGATGCCCCTCTGTCAGCCAGGAAGGGGCTGGCCCTATTTTTCCAGGGGGATGACGGGGCGCTTACCTGATGACATCGTTCACACTGGTAAGGCTTTTCGCCACTGTGTACCCGCTTGTGGCGTTCGAGGTGGTACTTCTGGATGAAACGCATATCACAGACGTCACACTCAAACGGCTTTTCACCTGGGCCAGGGGCAAAAAGAAGTGAGCACCAAGAGAAATCACAGCAGGGGCTATATAGTCCAGCTGTTGTCCAGACACCTAGTGACCATAAACACGTAAAACTGCTGGTCTCAGTGACACCAAACACAGAGCCATGCAACCTCTCTGCCTCCATGTCTACTCTCCTGGAAAACAAAGCCAGCGGGAATACAGGCTTCAGATTCTTCTCCCATCTAAACTTGAGTCTGAATAGGGCAGAGACTCACCAGTGAACAAGGAGGTGTTGAACACAGCAGACTCACCAGTGTGGATAAGGACGTGCCTCTTGAGGTGGTAACTGCTCCGAAAGGCTCCAAAGCAGTGCTCACAAATAAAATTTTTGGGAATCTTTACTTGAAAAGAGCCATTTTGTTCCACTACCACCACCTGGGGGCAACAATCAGGCATGTCACGTGGGTGTCTCTGTCCTCTTCCCAGAGCTGGTTCTACTCTGGGACCGATTACAGCTGCCGGACCGAGAACCTGAGAACCTCTCTGACACTGTGAAAGGCGGTGAAGGGAGGAAGATGGGGCAGATGAACCAGCTGTCTTGCCACAGGCAACAAACGCAGCGTGAGTGAGCTGGGGTTCACCTGCCCTGCTACAAGGCCACAAGCCACACTTCCTATCTGTACTGAGAACGTTCAGTTCAGCAAGGGCAGATGCCAACTGTCAGAGTAGCCTTGGATGTAACTGGGGCACAAATTCACCAGGGAAGACTGTAAGTCACTGTCTTAAGGAGATGACCCCCATTACCAAACTTCGAGTTTGGGGCTTCCCCATTACCTGCCTTTTTAACAGTCTTTTTTGAATGAGAGGCCTCAGCCAAACTGTCATCATCTTTGCGGCTGCGGGACTTATCACTGTCTTTTCGGTGGCCCTTTGAAGACAAATCATATCTAGGCTTACAGTCCATCTGGGAATATAAAAGGTGAAACCAAATACAGTCTCTTGGTAAACAGTCTGCAAAGGAGATAAACCGCCTGCTTCCTCTCCAGACATCTACTTCCTCTTTCCCTCTCTTGGTCTAAGAGTCTGCAGGTACCACAAGAACCTTTCTCGGCTCTCCAGACACCCGCACCCTTTCCTTTCCTGCTGGATCCCAGTTCCCCACTTCCCTAAACGGAAGAATCTAGGCAAAGCCAGAGGAGCCACAGCTTGCCTCGAGGCAGAGAGCTGGGGCCACCCGACCCCCAAGCACCAACCATAATGGACTCAAGTACTGTACCTGACTTGAGCACCTCAGCACATCAGGGCTACCCGCCCGCTCGCCGTTTTCAGCCTGCTTGCTGGCAATCTGACTCAGCATCATCTTCTTGCTGGCTGCAGTGGGAACCAAACTCACACCTGCTAGGCCTTCACAAGCCAGAAGACTTGCCTAAGTTGGAAGGAGATGAGGTGTCAGGTCTCCGGGCAGGGCAGAGACAGGCTGCCACCCTCAACAGACCCTCGTCTACACCCGGCAACAACTCGATTCTCTCCAGGGATTGACTCCCTTGCAGGCAGTCACGCCTTGCTTTCTTCAGGTCCTTTCTAGCTGTCTCACCAGGAGCTACTCCCCACTTTGCACCCCTTAGCAATGAAGCACAGATAAGCCAACCAAGCAGCATCAACCTTGTGGTTACTGTACCAAACAGCACGTGGGGTTACATAGTACCTAAGGCATTTCTGAGCTTTTTTTTTTTTTTGGTTTTTCGAGACAGGGTTTCTCCAAGTAGCCCTGGCTGTCCTGGAACTCACTCTGTAGACCAGGCTAGCCTCGAACTCTCAAACTCAGTAATCCGCCTGCCTCTGCCTCCCAAGTGCTGGGATTAAAGGCGTGCGCCACCACCGCCCGGCGGCATTTCTGAGCTTTAACCGTAGGTAGGTATGACGTCTGTCTGTCTGTCTGATCCATGGAGATGGGAGATTCCTAGGGCAACGTCTTCCTTACAAACGCTTTTATTCTTATTGCTTCTACCTATTTACTTAGTGTGTGCCTGCATGCCAGTGTCACTGAGCATGTGGAGGTCTGAGGCTCACTTGAGTTGTTTCTCTTCTTCCACCATGTGGCTTCTGAGACCTAATTCGCCTTGTCGGGTTGACAGCAAGATGCTTCATCTGTTGAAGAACCTCACTGATCTCCTTTTCTGTTTTTGTAAGATTTATTTTTATTAGTGTGTGTGTGTGTGTGTGTGTGTGTGTGTGAGCATGTCACATGTGGACAAGGTGCCCAAGGAGACCAGAAGAGGGCGTCTGATCCCTGGAGCTGAAGTTCATTAGCTGTGAGGGACTGATGTGGGTCTTCTGGAAGTGCTTGCTCACTGAGCAGTGCTGGGCCAACAGTGATTGGATTCAAAGCCCACTTCAGACGGGTAGAGCTTGGGGGCACCAACTACATTTGCTATCAGGCTCTTTCTCACTTTAGATTTTAAATTCCCTAAGTGATGTCAACTACAAGCAAACAAAACCTCCAGATTCTGGAGTTGAATATACAATTTCTTTTGACTGCTTTGGCCATTTATTTTATTTTTTAGGTTTTTTCAGTGTAGCTCTAGCTGCCCTGAATCTCACTCTGTAGACCAGGGTGGCCTCAAACTCAAGAGATCCACTTGCCTCTGCCTCTCAAATGCTGGGATCAGTATGTGACACCCCACTTTAGGTGATTTCTACGTGTGTGCTAAGTAAAGTTTAAAAAGTTAATTGAACAGGGGTGCTTTAAGAAATAACCAACCACCTTTTACAACCACAGTCCTCTAAAACCGGTACTCCAGAGTATATGTTTCTCTTACTAAGAAAGTCTTTTAAAGAAATAGTTGGGTCAACAAACTCCCAGATTAGTAAAAATATTTTCTTTTGGATGATCAGTGTGTCTTGGGATCCCTTCTCTCACTTCCATGAACTTTGTGAAGTTAAAAAAACAAAAATCTTACTTCTGCTGTTTGGGCTGTGCAATTCTGGGCAAGCCTCTCTACCTTTGAAGCCTCGCTTCCTTCCACTGTGAAACGCCTGTCAGAGTGCCTACCCTCACAGGGCCAAGGAGAATGAGAGAGGGATATAAAACGCTCAGTGCCAAGCACAAAGTCAGTGCTCTGTAGAAGCAACCTTTTCAGAACAGTAAGCACGGTGCTGCGGAGTGAAGCTGCAGACAGACAAAGGGAGGGTTCCAGAGGCATGCTGCAGCACTTGGAAGAGAGCCAATCCCACTACAATCAGGCTGCCATCCTGGTGAGACCGGTAGAGGTTTCCTCAAAGAAAGCTCAGAGAAGCGCGAGGCTCTCCATTCAGAAGACTGTAATGGTCCCTCTGGTCATCTTGTCCTCTCAATCCCTCTGCTGACCTTCACAATGACAGCTATCTTCTGAACGACATTACTTTGATGCTTAACACTCTTTGGGGAGTCCCCACTCCCTGGATAATAACGTCTAATTTCTTCGGAAGACACAAAAAGCCCTTGGGCAACACTCTGCTGACTTCTCTAGAAAACAACCCCATCCCTTATTAATTACCCTGTCTAATGATCCCCCATCTTTAATCCTTTGCTCCTTAACTACCCACCAAACCACCAGTGGTACCCCATCCCTCTAAGCCTCGGCCCACATAGTCCCTCTGTCTGAACGCCCTTCTCTGTCTATTTATCTGGCAAAATCCTATGCTACCTGCAAGCTTCCTTTTTCTTTTTCCCATCCAGGCAGAAGTAGCACCACGCAGTGGCAATCGTTCTATCACTGGAAACTCCTTTCATCAACAGATCCAGAGTCTCTCTAGTACCAGCCAGCTATCACACAGGGCACCGTGAATATTAAAAATAATAAATAACAGACTGTCTTTCCATCATCCCTTCCCCTCCCCCCAACTAGCCTGGAAGCTTACTGGGGACAAGCACAATCTTATTCATCTTTGTATTCCAAGCACAATGCCTTGCATGTAACAGGAGCTCAATAAAATTCCTGTTGGAGGAAAAAAAACAAATGAAGCATTCACCAGACTATTCACTCCCTCATGCCCGAGTACTTCACGTACCAAAAGTACACCGGGTACAAGGTGCTTTGCCAATGGCCCATCAGCGCCTGTGACGTGGTATATAGCCTACCTCCTTCATTTGACTGGAAGCTCCCTGAGGGCAGGGGCTGTGGCCTGTCTCCTTTCCTTCCTCTAGATCTCCCCCTGGTGTTTAATACAGAGCTCGGCTCACTGGGGGACGGTCAATACTGTCGACTAAGGCAGAATTCAAGAGTGACAGTGCAAACAGGCTTCCCAGTGAACGGTCTTGAAGGAGGACGCTAGAGCTTTTTACCTGAGCCATGCCGACTTCTCACTTAACGAAACCCCCAAAAAAGTTCAGAAGTTCTTTATCCTGTTTCCCTTAAAGACACTGTTGTCTGAAGAACTGTCACCAAATCACAGTAATGGCTCCTTGCTGTTCTTTCAGTTCGGTTGCCATACTGAACTGCCTTCGTCTTCTCAAAGAACTTAGTGTCCTCCAAAAGGAATACAGGTGTCCCAAGGATCTGCAGTCTCTCTCTGACTTCTGCCTCTTGTCGGAAGAAATGAGAATCTACCAGTCTTGGTTTCCAAGTTGGATTCTCTTGGTGAAGCTCTAGGTCTGTCCCAGAAACCTGAAACCAGAAAGGGAGATGGGGCCCTTAGGTGCAACATCCTCAGGCCACACAGAGAGCGAAGCTCTCTCAACTTATTTCGCTGGGCGTTCTGAAGCTCAAAAGGAGGACATGAGTCAAGAGCTTTCTTTCTAGGTCAGTAGAAGAAATTGGCTTCCCAGGCCAGAACGAGCAGCCAACAGGAGCAAAAGTAAGTTGGGCCTCCTATAGAGAGGCTCTGCCAACGGAGTAAGTGCTGGGATTTGCCATCTTAGGAACGGAAGAAGGGGGCGGAGGCCCTTTGGGGCTTTTGTGCGGAGTGGGCCGGCCTGCAAAGCTGGCACTCCACAGACGAGGGCAGAACCGTGGTGGAAGGAAGCTCGGGGGGCCTCCGCCGAGCGCAGGGGTGGCTGGCAGTGCCCGCACGTGAGCGTCACTCCGAGTCCGCCCGAAGGTGCGTAAATTCGCCGCGGAGGTGGAGGGCGGGCGTGTGCGCTCTGCAGGCAGCCGCAGCGCGCGGACCCGGAGCGCCGAGCCGCGCGCGACCGGCGTGCTCGCGCCCGTGCCCCCCCCCCCCCGCCTCGGCGAGCCCCCCTCTCCCAGCGCGGGGCGGGGCGGCGGCGGCCCTCCCCTCGCGCCCCCTCCCTCCGCCGCGCGCCCCTCCTCCGCCGCGCTCCCCTCCCCCTTCGCGCGCGGCGCCCCACGGCCTGCGAGCTGCTGAGGCGCTGCTGCCCGCCAGCCCGCCCGCTCGACGCTGCCTCCCCGCGGCGCGCGCCTACCTGCCCGGCGCGGCCTCCCGCCGTCTCCTCCGCCGCGCGGTGCCCACTCCAGGCCCCAGGCACCCCGTGCCAAGCCCGCGGCCGCCGCTGCCCGCGCCGGGACCGAGGCAAGTTTACAAACACCAACCCGGGGCCCGTTTCCCCGGAAGCACTTCTCCCTCCCCCTCGCCCTCTTTGCCAAGCGGTCACATCCACTTCCGGGCTCGGGAGCCGGGACAGGAGGGGGGCCTCCGAAAAGGGGTGAGGCTGGGGACGCGCGGAGAGCTGCAGCTGGCGAGTGGGAGGGGGACGGCCGGGAGGACCGGAGGAGGGTGGTGCGAAGGGCAGCGCGTGCGCCGTGGCTCGCGCGCGCCCCGGCCGCCATCTTGACTAAGGGCAGTCCCCAGGCTCGCCTGGAACCTTTAGGCACTGAGTGTTCTTTGAGAAGGTTCGCTAGGTGAGCTGGTTGATTCTTGCAGAAACTCCGTCTCTCTCCTGACGCCCCAGGTAGAACCCGTTACAGTTCGTACTCCTGATCTTTTTGTTTAAGCTTGGTCAGGTTTGTCGTTCCGGTGCTTGCTGCTGTCGGGCGCAGACCTGCAGACTGAGGTCAGCTGGGAGGAGAATTAAGCCATTGCGCAGTCCTGCGGTACACACTGAACCACAATCTGCATATGAGTCTCAGACGTTCTCTAAATACCCAAGGCAAACGTGCTCGGGCCCCGCAGTCTTGTGCCCCGAGACAGACTTCTCTATTCTAGGTGACTTAACTAGCCTAGGCTTGCTTTCAAGAAAAGGCCTTTTTTCCCTTCAGTGGACTAGTCTTGTTGGAGACTTGGAAGTGCGTGTTATCCCCTGGGCCAAGCCGCATTAAGTGGAAAATCGAGCCCATCGGATGCTAGCCCCATGTTACCCCACTTTAGCATTAGAAAGGGGTCCTGCTAAAAGATGCACTATCCCAAGTGCACACTTGGCAGAAGGAAACGTGAATTCCACCTAAGTCCCTGTTTCTATTCTAACTGCTGTCTGGTGGGTTTAGGAGACCGTAAGGCACTATCCAAAAAAAAAAAAAAAAAAAGGATTCCTAACGACAGGCGTGTACATTTTACACCACTAAAGTTCCGTTTCTCTTAGGATCATTCTGAAACTGATATAAAATGGAGAGAAATGTCACCAGGAATGTTTTAAAAACAAATTAGGGCTCTTAAGAGATGACCCAGCTGTTAAGAGTGCTTTCTGGGAAAGGACCAGAGTTTGGATTCTGTTATCCAGGTAACAAGCCTGCTAACGGGAATATTCCTGTAAACCCAGCTCCGAGGACGGTGGAGACTGGAGGATCCCAGGACTTGCTGGTTTCCACATTAACTGAGAAAATTAGAGCCCCTGCTTCTAAAGGAATAGGCAGAGTGATAGGCAGGGCATGCAACATCCTCTTCTGACTTCCAAGTGTGCACAGGCTCTTGAACTTGCATGGACATAGCCTCATAATAAACAAACATATGATTTTAAACACTAGTTTAAGCAAAGGGGTATGGCAAGTGTCTGTAATCCCAGCACCTGAAAGGCAGAGCAGGCAGATTCCGAATGAGTTCAAGGCCAACCTGGTATACAGAGCAAGCTCTACCAGCTAGAGATACACAATCTTTAAAAAAAGCAATGAGCAAGCTAATCCATTTCCAGTCTTCAGAATACAAAAGTACATAACTTTTTTTCTTTCAGCCAAGCACTTGAAGATAATCATTCTTATTATTGTTTATTTTTCTTTTTCTTTTTTTCTTCTTCTTTTTTTTTTGGTTTTTCGAGACAGGGTTTCTCTGTGCAGCCCTGGCTGTCCTAGAACTCACTCTGTAGACCAGGCTGGCCTGGAACTCAGAGATCCACCTGTCTCTGCCTCCCAAGTGCTGGGATTAAAGGTGTGCGCCACCACTGCTCGGCTTATTGTTGTTTCTTATTACTGGAAATTTAATTTTTTTTTATTTTTATGTGTGTGTTCATGTTTTGCCTGCATGTATGTCTGTGTACCAGTTGAGTGCCTGGTGCCCTTAGAGGCCAGAAGAGGGTGGAGAATACCTAGAATGGAGTTACTAATGCTTACGTGCCACCTGGGGTAACAGACAGTGAGAGCCACCATGTGGTTGCTGGGAATTGAATCTAGGTCCTCTGGAAGAACAGCCAGTGCTCCTAACTGCTGAGCAGTCACTCCAGTCTCTGTCATTATACTTTTGATATTGGGGCTAGTTGGAATTCATGGTCTGGCACATGCTCGACAAGATGTCAGCTACTGAGTTTTCTTTCTTTCTCTCTTTCTTCCTTCCTTTCTTTCTTTCTTTCTTTCTTTCTAGATCTGTTTATTTATGTATATGAGTATACTGTAGCTGTCTGCAGACACACTAGAAGAGGGCATCAGATCCCATTACAGATGGTTGTGAGCCACCATGTGGTTGCTGGGAATTGAACCTGGGTCCTCTGGAAGAACAGTCAGTGTTCTTAACTGCTGAGCCATTTCTCCAGCCCCAGCTCCTGAGTGTTCTACTACACTCTACTATTCTCCAGGTCTTACCAGTTTGGTGAACTCTGTACAATGAGACACTTTTTTGGAGTTCATACCCAGTGCCTTTTTTTTTTTGAACACCTAAAATGTACTATATATTTTATTTTCTGTTTTTTGTTTGGAATAGATCCTTTTTTTTTTTTTTAAGATTTATTTATTTATTATATATGAATATACTGTAGCTGTCTTCAGACACACCAGAAGAGGGCATCAGATCTCATTACAGATGGTTGTGAGCCACCATGTGGTTGCTGGGATTTGAACTCAGGACCTCTGGAAGTGCAGTCAGTGCTCTTAACCACTGAGCCATCTCTCCAGCCCCCTGGAATAGATCCTTATTCTGGAAGATTTTTTTTTTTTTTTTTTTTTGGTTTGGTTTGGTTTTTCGAGAGAGGGTTTCTCTGTGTAGCCCTGGCTGTCCTGGAACTCACTCTGTAGACCAGGCTAGCTTCGAACTCTCCAACTCAGAAATCTGCTTGCCTCTGCCTCCCAAGTGCTGGGATTAAAGGCGTGCACCACCACTGCCTGGCTTAGATCCTTATTCTGTAGCTCAGGCTGGCTTCAAAGTCTCCTAAGTTTCTCCTGCCTCACCCTGGAGTATTTGGTTTCAAACCCAGCAGATAGTCCATGCTAGATATATCTAAGTGAGTTCACTTTTTAAGAATTGTTTCATAACAAAAGCTGCGTGAGATGATCCAGACCTGTAGCCTGAGCTGCCTAGGAGGTTGAAGCAAGAGAATCACTTGAGCCCAGGAAGTTCAGAAGCTGGAACAGCATAGTGTGACTGTCTCAAGGCGGAAAAACAAAATTAAACAAACAAAACAAATCCTACTCAAGCAGCAGTTCATTGTGAAGGTGTGATTCATGAACTGGGAGGGAGAAGCAGGAGACTCTGAACTTGAAGATCGTCTTAAACTACACAGTGAATTTGAGGCCAGTTTGGGCTGCATGGTACCCTGTCTTGGGGAAGAAAAAAAAAAAGACAATAATAATTCAGCAATGGATATTCTTATGTGGTTGTCTCCTTGCACTTATGCAGAGTGTGTGAGTAGATATGTAATGTGACTATGTAAATATACCTAAATACTTTGAAGATTTATGTCTGCTTTTATTCATGTGTGTACTGTAAGTGTATGAATGTTTTGTCTGCGTGTATGTATGCACATAACATGCATGCAGTAACATGCATGCAGTGGAGGGTATAGGATCTCTTGAATCGGAGTTACAGATGGCCCTGGACTGGGAGCCACACCTGGATCCTCTGTGAGAGCAATAGTACTCTTTACACTGAGCTGTTTCTCCAGCCTCCAAATTCTTCTCTTCCCCTCCCCACCCTCCCAATTTATGGTGTTGAAGTTTGAAACCATTCTGCCGTGAAGCACAGCTATATGCTGTTTCAAAATTTTTTTCTTTAAAACATGAATACTTATTTTGTGTGTACGGCTTCATATGTGTCCACGTAGAGGTCAGAGTATAGCTTTTTTTTTTTTCTCGAGACATGGTGTGTCTATGTAGGCCTGGCTGTCCTGGAACTCTCTTTGTAGAACAGGCTGGCCTTCAACTTGCAGAGTTTTGCCTGCCTCTGCCTCCCAAGTGCTGGAATTAAAGATATATGCCACAATGCACGGCCAGAGGACAACTTTTGAGGGTCAGTGTTCCCCTTCTGTCATGTGGGTCCAGGGATGGAAGAGCTTGGGTCACCAGTCTTGAGAGCCAGTGCCTTTATCTGCTGAACCATCTTGTAGGGTGTGGTTTGTTAACTTTCTAACAGTATGCCTAGTTGAAAGAACTTTTGGAGGCACCTAAGTGTCCAGATCTCTTTGCCCTCAGGCAGGACTCCTCTGGTGCAGGGTCCCTAACTCAGCCTCTTTCAGACTCTCTCCATCACAAAGATACAGCTATGATGATCCCTGATGAGTGTGTGCCTGTCAGCACTACCTGCAGGACAGCATCTGGCTTTCACCTGAGCGTCTGGACCAGGCAGGTGTTCGGACTGTACAGCCGTGCCTCTCTGGAGTGAGTGCCTGGTCTGTTACATGGTTTTGCCTTCAGTTTGGATCTGGGTTCCTTCTCTGGGTCCCAGTTGGAA